GTGGCGGGTTCAAACAACCGGACACGACAACAAACACCGGCTATGAGAGAATTTGGAGTGTCGGAGCGCCCTTGTGCGGCCCGACGGGAAAGTGGCGGGTTCAAACAACATGTAAGATCGCCGACTTTAGGGGGCAATACGTTAATTAATTGCACGTCAGAAAAACCTAGGGTCAAACCGTATGTGGGTGGTTGCGGTAGATGACAAAGATGACAATTGTCTTACACGAAACCGTTTATTTTGACATAAGGTTAACTTACATAACAGTAATACCACAGAAAAGTCGATCTATATCTTTCCGCTGGGGAGCTCCCGCTGTCGGTGGATGGGTGAAGGCTGGGGTTGCGTATCCCGGGTCCTTGATAGATGAGTGTCCTTTGTACAGGAGGTGACTCTGACGGGCGATGCTGCGGTCGGACGGAGATCTTGGCCCTCTGGTGGAAATACTGATCCAGAAGAGAACTGCGGAGAATCGGCTGAGAATCTTTGCTTTGTCCTTGAGATTCGGGGGTTTTATAAGATTTTCCCCCGAATCTCACCCTTTTGATTGGTCCCGTTCACCCTCTCCTTTACCCCGATTGGTCATTCTTTTGTTTCTAGGCGAAATTCGAGACCGATCCGGGTCGGGAAAAGGTCGGAGAGGTGATGACGGGGCTTTTAATGTTCGCGCTCGTATTTTTCTCCGTTATGGCCCTTCTCTCGGACATCTTTGAACTTAAACAGTCCACCAGATGTTCTTGTGACCATTTATCCCTTACCGCGTTCGGACTTATCAGATGTCCCTTTTGTTCTTAGACCCCCTTTTTCTCGATTGCTTCAACCCGACACTTGTTCGCGATCATCTCGACAAAGCTCTTTCTCCCTGTCGACATGCCCCCTGTTGTTTATCATCGCGTCGCGTTTGTTTTACAATTTGAAAAAGTTTTCGTCCCATCTGGGTCTGTCATTAACACACCCTCTTGACCCGTTTCTAGCTTCGAAACCCTCCGACGTAAAAGTTTGTAATTAGTCGCAATTTCGACGCGCTTTTACGACCCTCACACGACCGGACACGACAACAAACACCGGCTATGACAGAATTTGGAGTGTCTGAGCCCTGTTGTGTTTCCTGTACTTAATTTCTTTTTAGCAGTGGTGAGAGGAACGTTGACTGCACAGTGGTACGTTTAGTAAACAGTCATTTTTCGATGAAGCTAATGGTCGGTTGCGCCAGACAAATAGGATTTTTCTGGAACATCTCTATCACGTTGCTGTACTTTTTTGGCTCGTAAGCAGGGGCGGCCCTAAGGCGGTGCGAATGGTGCAACCGCACCGGGCGCCGTCATAGTGAAGGCGCCGAAAATGCAACGATAGATCGTCTGCAGAAAAAATAAAACCCGATCACCTTATTACTACTTAACCCTGCCCGCCAAAATATATTTTGTTTTTTTTCTTAATTTGTTTCAATTTTAAATTAATTTACGATGTAAATTTGTCTTTTGTGTGATGTGAGCGTTGTCTGTGCCATAGCAGTTTTAATAAATATTGTTATGAATATCGTCTTATGAAATAAATTAAATAAATATTGCCTTGTGAAAGAATATTGTTTTTTTTACAGTTATTGTTCCTCATCCATACTAGTACTACAATATAGATTTTACACAAGAGTGAGCTGCGTTGTGAAAATATAAAACATGATCCTGAAACGTGTGCTATATCTCCATAACCTAAAATTAAGAGGCCGGATAGCCGAGCGGTCAAGGTGGCAACCTGCCGCTCTGGGGACCCGGGATCGAATCCGAACGAGTCAAGATATCCCCAGGAATTTTTCGGGAGGTGGTCCGTTCGGATATGTCGGGCTCTGTCCCTCACCACCCGGCAGCCCCATTATGGGCCTGGCCGAACCCATAATGGGCTTGCAAAAAGTGGCCCTCTTAGTGCCCACAGGGCGGAAAGAGTTAAAAATAATAATAATAATAATAATAATGTATAATTACTATATTAATAATGTGAAAAATGTACGTTATTAGTTCAGTCTCTACAGGGAGGGCGCCACAATGAGATCTCGCACCTCCTGAAAACCTGGCTAAAGCCGCCACTGCTTGTAAGGTGTTCGAATTTGTCAGTTTTCAAGCATTTGTTAGCATTAAATGGGACTCCAGGTTCCGATATCTGCGAGTAAAGATCTGGAGTTATAGTTTCAACATTTATAAGCAAATTTATCGCTGAATAGCATACGGCGACTCTGTATGCAGTATGTATTGCCGAAGCAAAGGAATTTTTTTAATTTTTCGGCTTGTGAAGAGGCCATGCTTATCAGTAGTCGATTGGATAAAACCACTGAATATTGTCGTTTGCCGAATGTTTGTGCGGCTGGCTGCAAGGAGTTTTTAATGTTTTCTTCACGTTTCTAACACCACCCAAATAGGAGCTAGTCTTCCATATAAAGACTTTTCAGGAGACACTCCTCTTGGCAGATCACCCATGTGTAACGTTGCTATATCTCAGTAAACTAAACAAATTTGAAAGAAGTTTTTTTCATGGTTATCGTAGCTTCGGCCAGATGCACAATGTGTCAGTCGTGAGAGACGGGATGGACATATCTGGGACGGACCTGATAAAAAAAACTTCTGGGTTTTCTTCGACCCGTCTGAATTCGATCCGAGGAAGCATTAGCGTATTGCTTCAGCCATCCGGTTGGGAAGAGGAGGTTTTAGAAGGCTCTGTTAAGTTGTATTGTTATTCCACGGAAATTGTTTCTTTGCTATAAAATTGTAATAACTTATTTTCATGTTCATCATGTCCGAATTAATAAAGTATCATTCAATTCCAAAATTAACGTACGAATTTAAAATACAGTAATAAACATTTGAAAATATTAAATAAACTCTAAGAATAAAATAAAAAGTTCACGATGTAGGGGTTACCAGCATCATTGCAAAATTGTTCTAAGTACTTATAGAGAATTCGTAATTGAAGAGTTCGATTTACTAGCCACAATCCTGACCACTGTATAACAAATATCCAGCATGAAAATTAAAGATATGCTTCATTTAATTCGAATCATTCTTTCGGGTAGAAAAACTATTTTACCTATCTACTGAACAGTGCCGGTCCGAAGCAAGTTTTAGGATGGAGCGAGATCCTATTATGGCGCCCCCCTTGGTTGCCCCTAATTTATACCCTTTAATTTTCTTTACCACTGAGGCGCCCCCTAGGACTTAGCGCCTGGAGCGGCTGCTCCGTTCGTCCTATGATAGGGCCGGCTCTACTACTGAAGAACAGTTTTAGAGAAGTTTCTAGATTGAAAAACTAATATCAATAATAAATCTTTATCTTTTTAAATTGAGAATCTGTCACAAGTTTTTGCTTATAGGAAAACCTGAAAAGCAGTTTTAACCATAGGGCAGGACGGCCGGATGGCCGAGCGGTCAAGGTCGCAGCCTACCGCTCTGGGGAACCCGGCCTCTAATCCGAGCGGGTCAAAAAATCCCCAGGTATTTTTTCGGGGAGTGGCCCGTTCGGATATGTCGGGCCCCGTCCCTCACCATCCGACAGCCCCATTGTGGGCCTGGCCGAACCCATAATGGGCTTGCAAAAAGAGGCCCTCTTAGTGCCCTCAGGGCGGAAAGAGTTAAAAAATAAAAAATAAATACTAGCTCCCATGAAGGACTATGGTCAAATTCATGATGAATATGATTAAAAGGACTTCCTTTTCCTCACAGGGTTTGACACCGACTGGACGACAGCCTACCGTTCTGAGAGACCAATGATCAAATCTGAGCGCACAACTCCAGGAATTTTTCAGGAATGGTCTGTCCTGAATATGTCGGGGTCAGGCCCTCGCCACCCGATTGCCTGCATTGTTTATCTGGCGAAATCGACAGTAGTCTTGAAAAAAAGCTCTCTTAGTGTCCACGATACCTGTTCCGACATTAGCATCACAACATCATCGTTAAATTGTGCAGTAATGCCGTGACAAAGAAGCAAGGGTTGCCACAGACTGGCAGCAAATTGTCTTTAGCAACGAATCCCAGTTAAGTTTAGGAACGGACGATTGCTATGATAAAATATGTAAAACAATTATTTAAATGCCTTAATCCCGCATTTACTGTTGACAGCAAACCATAAACACTGGACTGAGAAAAAGAATCCCAGAGTCCAGGGTGAAAGGTTACATATCTGAATCACTTTTATGATAATAATTTGTGAGATTTTTTACTCTATCTCAGAAGGAAAAGTGCCCCGTTTGCCTGCCTCTGAGATGCAAATGATGATGATATAAGAATTATTATTTTGCAAGAGATTAAAGTAAAAGAAGTGACAATTGCTTTTATTACAGTGATGGCAAACTGTGGCACGCAAGAAGAAGTCATCTAGCACGTAACATATTATATAATTTCGATTTATCATCCGTCCCTTTCAATTTATCACATGATCATCCTTTTCTCCAGCTAGAGAGAAACTACTGGATCTAGAAAATGTAAAATTTTAAATTTAAGCCTTTATTTAAATTTTTAAATTAAATTTTTAGCGGGATACGCTATCAGTGAGTTGCTGGCAAAACTTCCGGATCAATAGGTTAGGTTCACGGGTATTTTCCATAGAGATATTTTACTTTTATCGCTTAATTTTATGCTTGTAAGGGTAAAATTGCGTCGAAACGGATGATTTTTATTGAAAACCATATCCAGAATAACAAAAGCTTAAATTTATGCGAATTAAAACTTTTTATAACGATTTTACTAAACGGCATATTGAAAGCGTTCGATCAGCGGTCGTCACCGAGTGCTTAACGAACCGTACTTCATCGTCTTAGTTCTCCATATAATAATACACGCATCAACCAATAAACAATTTATATCTAAACAAAAACATCTGGCATGTAAAAAAATTGCGCCAAGAGAAAAATGATAACAATTTAGATGATATCAAATTGTTTTTCTTCAGTAAAGATAAGTTTGGAGCTTTAAAGCGAAATGCAGGAAACTAATAAAAGTCTTGTGGGTATGGCTTCGAAGTTTCAAGCTTATCTGTAATAAAGAAAAATTCCTAAGACACATTTAAGATTTTCTTTTAGATATAACGTATCAATTATAATTATATACCAGCATTACACGTTAAAAAAATAAATAGGAAACGTCGTAGATAATTTATTTCTTATTCCTGATGCTAAATTAATTTTCCTTATAGAGACGCGACGGATTAACGCAGCAAATTCCAAAATGATACATATCAATATAAAAACTTTTTTCATTTTTCTTGTAATTTTTTTTGCAGGAAATTAAAAACTGTTCCTTATTTCTACATCATTAGCATACAGAAATAAAGAAATAGATTTTTTAATAAATTATAATAAATAATTAATAATAATTATAAATATATTAAATATATCGAATCGACTCCAAAATGGCGACGCTCCTCGACTAAACGCTATCGACAGAAGTGCGCTTCGATATATTCAATTTTTTCTCTTTAATCAACGAGTCTAAATAATAATTACGAATAAAACCTTAAGCGATAGACATAATTAATTCTAAGAAATAAAAAGAAAATTTTAAAAGTTAACATTTAAAATTCATTATTACTATATTAACTCAATAGATGTCAGCATCGGTCTACGGATCGATTTTCAGAGGCGAAATATCTAAGATGTGACGAAAAGGGTTCTTATCTCATAAATATATACAAAAAAATTTATAGTAAAAAACATAATTATTTAACGATTAAAATGTAATAGAAATGTCGAACTTTATACTTTGCGCTTCAATGAACTCGAAGACGACTTAATATTTTTCCTTTTTTGTATTTAATATGGTTCAGTAGTTCGTTCCACATCTTACATACAGACATGTTAACGTACTTTAGATAGATGCCGATATAATCCGACCAATACGTCAAAAATGCTACGTTTTCGAGTAGGACCCGTCATGTTTCAGTTCAGGTTGTCGGCTTTGATAATTGTCACTTTAATTTTGGTGGTCCTCGTTGCATTCGTCGTCTTTATATTTAATGACAGAGGCAACGATAACTCGAAACAGTTGATTTTTGGAAGGAATGTCGATCTTCAACACGTAAGTGCTTAGTTATTTGCTTTTTTTTAATAAGTAAATGGTTAAATTTAACCAATGCATTAATAGCAATATGTAATTTGTCTTATATAACATAAGCATAATCATAAAATACGTCTTAGTAACGTTTAGGAATCGGATTATTGATTTAGCAGCGTATTCGAGCCATTATTTTGTGATGTGGACGGTAGCGATGTGTCGATTTAACCAGAGACGACGATTGGTAACCGGTGTGCTCGGAGTTGTTTTAGACGTTTGGAGCTCTCGGCCTGGTTTCTTTAGAGGCGTCGTGCAAACGTAGAAGGAAAATAGTGACAAGCAGCGAGACGAGGTCTCTGATGGTGGTCGGGTGAGATCGTGTGTTAATGCAATCCCGAATACTTACCGTTAATTGAAGCGGGAACGTTGCTGTTGGTGATGTTTTCTGCAATAATGTTCTTCTGTCTGTTGCTCTGCTGGTCCTCGTGTTTAAAAGTAAACGGCATAAAAAAAGTCACAAGTGATCGGCTGTAACTTGCAGACGCCTTTCGTACTTATTCCGGCAGGTATGTTTATTGTAAAAATGAATGTTTTTGCTCACTTTTAGAGACTTTCATTGGGTTATTATGCATTACTGTAAATCAAATGTGATTAATCAAAACATTTTAAAGCATATGGTAACCTATAATCTGATGATGGTCTCTGAAAGTGATTGAAAACATTTGTTTTTTTAATAAATACACCTGCTGGAATAAGTATGGAGGTGTCTAAGTTGTTGTATTATTTTCCAGGTTTTAGCTGTGTTTTAAGCAGTTGACCCTGAATGAAATGGAAAATGGGCATATCGGACTCGATATGCCCATTTTCCATTTCATTCAGGGTCACTAGGCTACGTCAATAGCCACGAGATAAAGAATAAAATTTAATACTTGTTTATGTCTGGACTTTTTATTTTTTATTGAGCACTGTCATATGTATCACTGGTTTGCATATAAATATGGCAACTCTGAACAGTATTGTGATGCCGGTTATCTTGGGTTTTTATGGTAGCCTACCTATCTATGCTAAATCTGTGCAATCCATTGGCAATACAGATGACCCACACTCAGAAATTTCTGGTTACATTCCTATGAAGATGTGGAAATAATCTGCAACATACTGTATACTGTATATGATTTGTTGAATTTTGGAATTAATTAATTAATTTAGCATATCTGTTTTATATATATATACAGATCATCAGATATAGTTATGAAGATCATATATATATGTATGATCTTCATAACTGTATCTGATGAGAATTTTGAGATTGGCATCCATACAGTTTTTAAATTTTGAAGTAATCTCTTCACAAGAAATTCAAAAGATTAACAAAACAAAGTCAATGGTTGAATCAGTTATAATTTATAAAATAATATAGAAATTATACATGTATATAATTTATAAATTTAATTAAAATGTTATATATAATATAATATTCTACTGAAAGTTTTGGCATTATCAGGAAATGCATTTCTACAGTATATTTCAACAGTATAGGAAATGTACTTTTTAAAAGTTTATGGCATATAAAAACCATGTAAAATATTATATACTTAACAGTTTTTTATTTTATATAGCAAAATAAAACTGTTAACATTGCTTTCAGTGTTGTTTTTACTTTTATGTGATATTATGTACTATAGAACAAATTGATTTTTTGTATTAAGAATAATGTCAAATCATTTATTAAAATGATTCATACTATATTAAAAATATTTTAATACATTAAAATATAATATACATATATATATTTAATTAATAAAATATAGTTGAACCTCACTAATCTGAATAGTCATAATGACTAAAAAATTGTTTGTATTAAAAGTAATTCATGTTATAAGTTACACCATCATCTATGGAAAAAATTGTAATAGAAAATAAAAAATACATATATTTTAGCTTTATCAGAACATATTGACAATGAGATCATCAGAATACTACCAGATAAATTCCTATCAAGACAGGATCTTGTTTACTACCAAAGCAAAAAAAAATGCAGGATGCTCACTCTATCATTTATCCTGCAAAAGAGATCTTTCCAGCATTGCACAAATATATGCATAGTCTATAGTGTATTAGTTTTACAATAAAATAAAGGTAATTCATTCAAAAAGAAATGTGTAAATTATATGGTATACAATGCATTTTGTTCTTATGTTTGAAAAAATTATGTATTCTTCACAAATTATGTAAACACATGATACTGATTTCACCATGCAACACACAATGCTTTATAAAAGAACCAACATGCAGTGTAGTAATTGATAGACTGCTGTGGTTCTTTATACACTTATGAATGCCACTGTGAAATGATTATACTTTGAGGAAATGAGATAAAATGTACAAGAAGAAGCATGTAGATTTCATAACTGCACCAAGACCAAGACACTTTCAACATATAGTATTAATTTATACAATGTTGATTTTTATCCTTTATAATCAATTTGTTATGCTAAATCAGTTTGTTATGCTAAATCTTAAAATCATTTTCTTCTGATATCTTTGAGCTTGGGAAGATGAGAAAAATTTACATATTGCCAGGAACTACCATGTAATATAAACTTGTCCCTTTTTTGAATGAATGAATGAATTTATTTTATTGTAATAACTACTATGGAACTAATGCACTGTAGACTATGTATACACTTGTGCAATGCTAGAAAGATTTCTTTTGTGCTTGGATAAAAGTTAAGATGAATACCCTGTGTATTTTTTCTTTGGTAGGAAACTAGGATGGTAGGATTTTCTTTGATATGTTTCTTTCTGGTAGAATTCTGTAGTCTTTGATGATGATAATCAAAAACTTCATAAAAATGTAATTGCTTTTTCTATTTCTTCATTTTTGCCACTTGTATCTTTTCAGACAGACTCAAACTGATTAGTTACATATGCTGATTCAATTTTTTTCTCAATTCTTTAACTGTTGGTACTTTTGCTGTTCCTTATTTTATTATAATTTCTACTAAAATATTTTTAACTTGCCATCATCCACTTGAAAGCTTACCTTAGTTTTCAAATTATTTTTACTATAGATAAACATTTATCACTTTGCTTATTTTCAGTTATGGACAATAGATGTCACAAGTAGATAACTTTTATGAAAATTGAACTGTTTTTAAAGAAGAAAAATCATTTGAAAAGTAGCCCAATGTTAAAAAGAATGAAGTAAAAAGAAAAAGTCACAATTACCAAAATGCATAAGATCTCAATGCCAAAATGATTTTTAAAAAGTGTTGTGATTACTTGTTATGTGATCTCAAGATTTTGTTTTTAATCATTTATGATTTTTTTTTCAATCTGGCTACTGTCATCACCATAGTCAACAACAGGGGAGCTAAGAAATTTTTCCTGGGACTGGATAAAACTTAAAACACTGTAGTGATTCCTACCCAATAAAATTAATGTTATTTTTATTAACAGAGAAAGTCTTCAAAACTGTTTTTTATTAATAAATAAGCATTTTATCTGTTTTATTTTATTTGAAAAAATAGCAAAATGGTATTCTATCCTGGATTCAATACAACTCTTTGATGGCTCTGTTTGTCACAACTACAAAATGAACCCATTTTCAATATCTTTTTAGTCAGTGAACTGATTTGTAGTTTAAGAGAATATAAGAATGGGATTTGTCTTTTTTCTATTAAAAATCAGAACAGTTGCCTTAATGAAAGTAATTTTTTTCTCTTATCTCATACTAGTGTAAATTTAAACAGTAAAAAATATAACATCTGAAAGACTACCTTTTCCAAAATCTCCTATTTTTTTAATTTTTAATAAGCAAGAAAAATAAAATTATAGTTTATGTTAAAAGGAATTTTCTTGTTGTATCATCAATCATTTAAAATGGAATTCATGTTAAAGAAATAAAATGTGTTATAATGTGTGTGGAATTTGAAGGGAAATTATGAAACATGTTATGATAAAAGTAATTAATGCTAAACATCTTCATATTAATGAAGTTCAATTGTATTAATTAATAAATGTATCTTAAATAATCTTGTAATGACATAATTTTGAGTCAAAATTATAAATGTATAAAACTGTCTATAAATTTTTATTTCATACTATATACAAAATTAAATACAAAATATGTCACATATGTTGGTGTTAACAATGACAAATGATTTATAATTAGAGCTATTTTTCAGCAGGTACACAGACAGCATAAAAAGTATCAATAGCTAGTTATAGTACTAGCAGCTGTTTAGTGTTTAACAATTTTATACATTTAGTTACATAATTGCATATAAAATTGTTTTCACTAAACAAAATTATATGTTCAGTCACCATATGTGCATACCAGCAGTAAACTTTTTTGAAAAGAGCACTAATTATAACCTTTATTTATCAAATTTTCAAAGAATTTATTATAAACATTTATACTTTATGCATTCATGATATTAAAGTGAATTTTAATAACTTGAAATTTCATAAATACCTCCTGAAACTTGCATTCTGTTGATGACAGAAATAGGTATTACTAAAAATATTTTTCAAATAAAGATAACTTCCATAACAGAGATTATGAATTAATGTATATTGAAGCAAAGGTGTATATTTTTAATTTTCAGTTTTAATCTAAATATAAATAGTTTTTACATTAATTTAATTTTATTTGAAGAATAAAAAAAATGATAAACATTTTTTTGTGATATTTTTTTAAACATATTAAAGCCAATATGAAAAATTATTTTCTATTTTATTCAGTAGGAAAATATATTAAATTTTAAAACTTTCTTATAAGGTCAGAATTCTATTTAATTTTGAACATTTTATTTATATTAACTAGTTAATATTTATTTGATCTATTTTAGTAATATTTTCATACTTGGATAGCCATAGCAATTGATTCTGCTTTACCTTGATTCCACAATCAATTTATTTATAGAAAATGTATGAGTATAACCTTATATCATATTGTTTACTTAGCAAGTATTTCCTCTTGATGTACTTTAAGAAATACATATATTTTTTGATGATATTTATATGTATTATTTTTTCAGAGTGAACTTCATGTCTTAGAAGAGCAATTACAAAAATTAGAAGAAGAATTACAGAAAAATCAAAATGTTTTGGATCAAGTCAAAGTTGCTTTAAAAGATTTAGCTGTCGATACTTCTAATGCTATTATGCAATCAGAAGGAAGTGAAGTTATTCTCTACTTAAATATTAGTCTTAATTCAGTTAAAGTTCCTGATGAAGTTTGCATGTTATATGCATCTCCAAAAACACAGACGGATTTACATGTAAGATATTCCATGTTTAAATAATTAAAATATAACTTTAATTAATATGTGTATAAAATTTTAAAAATATATTTTAATTATATTATGTTATAATTTTTACAGAATAAAAGTTATACTTTTTTGTTGAATAGACAAAACATTGCACATACCCAAAATTATATAATGTATATCCTTGTCCAACACCATAGAAATGATACATAACAAGGTGTACTGAACATTGTTATTTTATTAATTATATACAAAACAGTAAGTTTTGCTATGCAACTCTTTAGAAAAAAAACAAATTATTTTCATCTAAGGTTGAGATCCTAGCATTATGTAACATTTTGTAAACATCCTTACTTCCTTGTAACACACAATAACAACTATTTGCATTCCCTCCCACCCATATCTGTGTTGTAATTTATGGACAATCCTTATGTTTATAAAACAAAGAATAATTTAAAATTAATTGCATTGATTGGCTACATGTAAGATGGAGGAGATAAAAATTATGGAATGTAAAAATTTTAAGAACATAATTACTTCAAAAAATTAAGAAGGTAAATAAATACTAAAAGGCAAAATAGAACCATAGTATAATAGTAGTGGATATGCTGCTATTATCATCATCTAGAATAGAAGTATTTTCTTTTTTCTAATTATAAAGTAATTAGGAAAATCGTATANATTACATTCAACCCTTTATCAAAAATAAACATTTATAATTTTTTTGCTACAATTTAATTAAATGAAATAAAACTTTTTAATTTAATTTTATAATTACAATTTTCTATAATTATTTTTAAGAAAATACTTGTAATTCTGAACAATGGTGTTAATTAATTAGAATACATATCTGAAAAAGTAAAATCTACAAAAAGTAAGTAAATATATAAAAAATTAAAATAATCATCTAATCGTTTTTACATATTAAATTTGAATAAAATCTAATTTTTTTCTAATTGTCTGCAAATATAACAGTCAGTATTTAAATATTTAAATACTTTTTAATATATTTAAAAAATTCAACATGTAATGATACTCAAATTAAAAAAATATCTAACCTACCTATTGAAAATAACCTCCATATTGAAATCTAAAATCATTTTTCCTTTATTAGAGGAAGAAAATTAATTGTAAAAAGGTAGCTTAATAAGCAATAAACTGAATAAAAAGTTCAAAGCCTAACAACAATTTTGATATTAAAATTTTTAGTTTTATTCTGCATTTATGAAACTCAAATGCTGGTTGGCTATATATTTCATCAACACTTTACTTTTAAAGAAATAAAATCAGCAAACTTAACATTTTTGGGATCAAATATAAGCTATTATAAACATTTTCAAATGGTTACGCTTTAAATGATTTGCATGAAATATCGTCTTGGAGTTTTTACCATTTTTTGGAAAATGAGGTGAAGTAACCTCTAATAAAAGGTCAACTGTGCTGTAGAGATTGTTTTTTGTAAGGTGTGTAGAAAGGATGAATTAAAATGTTCCGATGCAGAGATGAATATATTCGGAGTCATCAGGGCAGGTCAAATGAGGTCAACACAAAAATATTTGGGAACCACGCAGAACAAGTTAATAATACTTTACAAAACTAGAAGGTTGTTAGTCATATTTATTTTATCATGTAAAGTTCTTGACATAGAAAAGGACAGACATAATAAAATAAATCTATTCCTTAAGATGTCTTTTGAAAAAACAAAACTTATTAACATAAGGAGTTGGTTTACAACACTTTGATTCATATTTTGAGATTTATTCTTAACTCTAGATTGTCTTTGAAACCTTTGATTTTATGAGCAACATCCAAAATAAATTTGTACTTGATTGCTTCTTGTTCTTGTTTTAATTGTTATCAGTAAGCATAAAATTGCACGACAGAATGAATCATACAGGAACATACAATAAAGATAGATATACTATCTGTATAGCTTGTATATTATTTTTGTTGTGTGTTTCTATATGATTCCTTCTCTCACACAATTTTATGCTTACTCATAACAATTCAAAATGAATGTTGAAGATTTGAAAGTTGACCTAACAATGAGAATAAATCTGAAAACATTGATAGAAGTGTTGTAAAATAGTTTAAAGAAAGAAATTAGAAATATGGCATGTAGAAAAAAAAACAGAAAAACAAGTTAAAAATTAAAATTTTTTTCAAAAAACAATGTTTGAGTTTAATCATTTTAAAATGATTGAAAAGTTTTCAAAATATTTATAGATGTTAGAGATGTATAATGAACTTAAATTTGATAATCCAAATGGTGGAGTATGGAAACAAGGTTGGAATATTCAATATGATGATACTCAATGGAATGCTGATCAGAAGCTTAAAATATTTGTAGTGCCACATTCTCATAATGATCCTGGTAAGTACATTAATTATCAATTGATTTATGTTATGAAATAAATACTGTTATTGTACTTTAGTCGTCATATTTAAATATTTTACACAATAATAATAATTTTGTAATTTTTCAGGTTGGTTAAAAACATTTGATAAATATTTTACTGAACAAACACAAAATATACTAAATAATATGGTCACAAAATTGAAATTTGATACAAGAAGGAAATTCATTTGGTCAGAAATATCATATTTTTCACTCTGGTGGGATAAAATCAGTCAGGAACAGAAACAACTTGTGAGAAGGTTTGTCAAGTGATGTATTCAGTAATTAAAAATTTATCTTTTAACTTTATTATATATGTTTAATATAATTTTCAGCTATTTAGATCATGGACAATTAGAAATAACAACTGGTGGATGGGTAATGACTGATGAAGCTGTTAGCCATTATTATGCAATGATTGAACAAATGGTAGAGGGACATCAATGGCTTTTAAATAATTTAGGTAAAACATTTATAAATGGAATAATTTTTAATTAATGAATTCCTACATATCAAGAAGATATTTGTTAGTCATATCATTATCACCACAAATATATTCTTTTCTTCGTTGAAAGATAACTCTCTTTTGAGTCAATTCATACACTAATTATAAATACCGCATTTACTCGCATATAAGACAATGTTTNATAGTAATTTTAGCATTTATACATTAATAATATAATTCATGTAAAAATCATACATTTTGTATAATAATTACTCAATATACAATGTGAATTACTGTTTTGAGCAATAAGAATCCTTAACTCTAATTCATTGTCTATTATAGTTCAATTTTTTGAATTACATTCAACCCTTTATCAAAAATAAACATTTATAATTTTTTTGCTACAATTTAATTAAATGAAATAAAACTTTTTAATTTAATTTTATAATTACAATTTTCTATAATTATTTTTAAGAAAATACTTGTAATTCTGAACAATGGTGTTAATTAATTAGAATACATATCTGAAAAAGTAAAATCTACAAAAAGTAAGTAAATATATAAAAAATTAAAATAATCATCTAATCGTTTTTACATATTAAATTTGAATAAAATCTAATTTTTTTCTAATTGTCTGCAAATATAACAGTCAGTATTTAAATATTTAAATACTTTTTAATATATTTAAAAAATTCAACATGTAATGATACTCAAATTAAAAAAATATCTAACCTACCTATTGAAAATAACCTCCATATTGAAATCTAAAATCATTTTTCCTTTATTAGAGGAAGAAAATTAATTGTAAAAAGGTAGCTTAATAAGCAATAAACTGAATAAAAAGTTCAAAGCCTAACAACAATTTTGATATTAAAATTTTTAGTTTTATTCTGCATTTATGAAACTCAAATGCTGGTTGGCTATATATTTCATCAACACTTTACTTTTAAAGAAATAAAATCAGCAAACTTAACATTTTTGGGATCAAATATAAGCTATTATAAACATTTTCAAATGGTTACGCTTTAAATGATTTGCATGAAATATCGTCTTGGAGTTTTTACCATTTTTTGGAAAATGAGGTGAAGTAACCTCTAATAAAAGGTCAACTGTGCTGTAGAGATTGTTTTTTGTAAGGTGTGTAGAAAGGATGAATTATGAAGATATTTATTCTATTTTATTGAATATTTTTATGGATTTTATTTCATTATTTGCAATTAATAATAAATGGTTATAAGTAGCTGAATATAAGTTTTTAAACATTTTTAATATATATTATCTTTTATTTATTCTAAATTCTAATTTTTATAACAGACTCACAAAAATATAAGATAATCTTAAATTCTAATTTTTAGAATTTAAGATGAATTATTAATAATAATTCAAATTCAAATTTATTGCTTTTAGTTTTCTTTAGCATGTGGATGATACAAATCAATTATAAACATTTCATAAATTAAATATGTAGTTAAATTTTAGTTCCCCCTAACCTTTATGGTATAAAATAATTATAGACAATATATCACAAAATTAAATATATAAACAATTCCTATTAACCATTGCAAACTAGTATTAGGATTCATACAAAATAAAATCAAATATCAAATCACTTGATTTATTATCAACAAAATGAATGTTTATAAAATACATATTGAACTGTTTGACATACTTGCCAAATATTTTTGAAGATCTAAGCCATTTAATAATGTCCTATAGAATTGAATAATAATATAGCCCATTTTAAATCAAAGTTTGCCATCCAGAAAACCAACATTTCTCCACTAATTGCAAATTTAAGTACTTTTTATTTACTGTGAAAAAGTATTTATTCATTCTCAATTGTGTAAATTAGTCTTTTTAAATTTAGAGAGATATCATTCAGTAAATGCAATTTGAATTTCCCAACTTCTATCTTCTCTTATATATTCACAAAATTTCACACAACAATTGCTGTCTTTTTGTACATAGTTTTCAATAGAAACATCTAAAATCTGCAGCAACATACCTTTTAAATAATTCAAACATTTTTATCTCCTAAATAAAATCCTTCAAAATTCATATTAAACTAAATTTTAATTTAAATGCTTTAATACTTATATATCAATTATCATAAGATATATAATGTATTATTCTGTATATTAAAAGTAATATAATGTATTGTTAAACAAATGATTTGATCTTTTTGTTTTAATATGAATTATTTTTTCAGAGTATAGAGCAAAAAATGGATGGGCTATTGATCCTTTTGGTTTATCTCCTACAATGGCTTATTTATTAAAACGTATGGATTTAGAAAACATGGTGATTCAAAGAGTGCATTATTCTGTTAAGAAAAATTTGGCTTTACATAAAAGTCTAGAATTTTTATGGAGACAGGAGTGGGGTAATAAAAATTTTATTAAATTGATTATAATGGAAAATATTTTAAAACATACTTAGAGTAAAATTAGAATAGAGTTTAAATTTATCTCTTTTTAAATTGAAAAAAAAAAATTATAAGATTATTTATTCTTTTTCAAATTATAAACATTTTGCAGATTTTAAATTACAAAATATACATCCTAAAATTTACTTTATTGGTGCACACACAACTTTAAATTAACAGTTGTTTCTTTCTGCTTTGATAAAGCAGATTTCAGGTTTTATTAGAATAATTGGAGTTTATTTGTTATATGTATAAAATATATTTTTATATTCATGATGTTTATAGTTGTGTTGAATTAATAAATTTTGTTTTCATTAATCTATAAATCATTCAAAATTCAGTTATATTAATTAATAATTTACATTACATCTATTAATTTACTTTTACACACACATAAACATATGAATTAATGATTCCTTTAAATTATTATATCAAAACAATTCATTAGTTTATTTAGTGAACACTGTCTCCTCTCTGTCATCGTCTAGGACATTATAATTATATATTTATGGTAATTTAATTAATTAAATATAATAATCTTTTCTATGAATAGTTATAAAATAATTTGTAGTCAAACTCTTATTCATTTTTATGTTATTGTGTTTCCTATTACTTGCTATTTTTATTTTCCTATGTTTAGTTTGGTTTATTCCAAAACTTCTTGAAATTAATATTTTAGTAAATTTCAAAAGAGAAATATTTATTATTGACCATCTTATTAATTAATTGGTTTGTGAATTACATAAGTAATTTACTGTAATTTTTAAAATCATATTACATTATATAATACTGTATACTAATAAAGAATTCATATAATTACTGAGTAAAAATTAATTAATTACTTTAGAGTTACAGAATTATAAATGTAAAATTCATATTTTTAAATTTAATTTTTTAATGATACAAGATTTAAATTGCTAAAATTTTTGTTATTGTTTTTTTCATGTTAACAGTGTTTCTTAATATGGTAAATCAGTACTAACTCAGACTATTAGGTGATAAAGGTTATTTGGCTTTACAAAAATCTGAGTTAGCAGAGCGTTTTCTCCAATAATGTGGAAAAATGGGAAGCTACAGTACCATAATTTATTATAATTAGCTATACAGAAATTTTACTGAGCTTAATAGGTATACTAAGGTGACTTTATCTTACACTTTCCTTTTTAACCTGAAATAGCTTTGCCACATATTTTGAAACCATGACTTTAAAAAAGCATGAACAGTTCAGCTTAATGTAACATGTAAATATCTGATATAATCTCAGCAACACTTGTATGATGAAAAATAGCTTACCTGTCTGAAGAACTTAGTAGATTAGATTTCCTTGCATTTATGTATGGCACAGTAGCTGAGTTATACTTTCCATGTTACAAATTTAGATAGTGTATTTTGTAGGTAGATCTGATTAAAGTTGTTTTGATTTTGCATTCATCTATTAAAAAATTATAATTTTTCTATGGTCAAGAAATTCAAAATTACTGTACAATTTTTTGAAAAAAATCTGTTTAAGTTATGGAAATTCTGAGTTAGTATGAGTTTATTGCACTTTTAGATTGATTTTAAATTTTATAAATCTTATTTTCAGAAACTTTAGAAATGATATAATTCTAATATATTCTAGAATAGTATTTTCAACTGCTTGTCTATGGACTTGTGCTGATCTATGAAAAAGTTTCATTATGTTGGTGCTGTTGATTACATGTAGCATTTAAATAATAATCTGGAGTTACTATGCATACATTGTTATTTACAGTAACTCTAGATAAGCATAATGAATAAACATAATTCATAGATGCATATAATTACTGGTCTATGTAAAATTATTCATAATTTTACCTGTTTGCAATGAGAAGGTGCGAAACACTGTGCTAGTACAATAATTATCTACAAATTAAAATTATTCATTCAGTAAAATGTTACGCTAATCTCTTAAACGTTGATTTCATGAGAATTTCCTTGCTTGACTAAAGAATTTCATTATATTTAGAGTATTATTTTGTATAACTTTCATTTTTGTAGCTTGAAAAAAATAACAATTTGAATGCTTTATGTTTTAAATCTACAACAATAACACAAAAATATAACTTGTTTGACTTTTGTTTTAATTTTTAAATATAATTTTTTNAATTATTCATTCAGTAAAATGTTACGTTAATCTCTTAAACGTTGATTTCATGAGAATTTCCTTGCTTGACTAAAGAATTTCATTATATTTAGAGTATTATTTTGTATAACTTTCATTTTTGTAGCTTGAAAAAAATAACAATTTGAATGCTTTATGTTTTAAATCTACAACAATAACACAAAAATATAACTTGTTTGACTTTTGTTTTAATTTTTAAATATAATTTTTTTTATATTTCTTAAAATAATTAACAGTTATGAATGATTTTGCTCTAATATAGACATTAACCATACAACGGATATCCTCTGTCATATGATGCCATTCTATAGTTATGATGTCCCTCATACCTGTGGTCCAGATCCTAAAGTGTGCTGTCAATTCGATTTCAAACGGCTTCCTGGTGGTAAAATGAAATGTCCATGGAGAATACCGCCAGTTCCTATCAATGATAAAAATGTTGCAGATAGGTAAGTACACATAAATATCAATATCTGTAGAATGATAAAATAACAAATAACATTAATCATTAAAATTTAATTTTTTAGTATTGGACTAGTGATAATCTAATACTAAATATTAGACTTGCATTTGATTTGGCAATGAATATTTAAATCAAGTAAAATTCTAAATTAATATTATACATTCAAACATTAAATTATAAGATATTCAAGCATAAATTAATCTTGAAATTGCTTCATTTTAAAGCAATTGTAAAATAAATTGATTCTTGAGTATTTTACCAATTAAGGTTGTGTCAATGTAAAATTCTCTATACTAAGACTTTTAAGCTGTGATTCCAAAAGTATGTGATGTTACACATCTAGATTTATGTTTGAAGTATTAATTGTGATTGCTATGTTATGATGAACATTATATATCTAATTAGATAGGTATTTTACTGTACAATGAAATAAAGATTATAAAAATTGCTTTACTATAAAATTATAAAAAATAGTTGCAGCAATTTTTACAGTTTGTTCAGAATTTCATTAAAAGTAGTTCAGAAATTTAGTTACCTTTCTTTAATATTTAAAGGTAATGCTTCAGAATAATACAAAAAGTTTAACAATAAGTGGAAATTATTTTGGATATTATAACATCCAAATATTTATAAAGACACAAGACAAAAAAAAATGATGATAATCAACTTCAGAATGGATGGACAAGAGAAGTTGAACCATCTATTCTTAAATCAGAGTGGAAAAAGTCAAGTACAGTACATTAAGAAATCACAAAGCTCCTGGACCTGACAACATAACCTCCAAAATTTTAAAAGCAATGGGAGAATTGGATGTTGATATATTTTATAAAATCTGTTCCTTAATTTGGAAATTAGAGGGATAGCTAGAAGAATGGTTAAATTAATATTTATTCCAATTATAAAAAAGGTGCACCAAAAGATTGTAGTAATTACAGAACTATCAGTCTAATCAATCATGCCAGTAAAGTAATGCTCCAAATAATTAATAACTGTTTGAAACCCTTCCTATTACCTGAAATAGCTGAAGAACAGATGGGGTTTATTCCTGCTAAAGGAACCCATGAACAAATCTTGAACGTCCAACAAATTATCGAAAAGGCCTACAAATTTAATGTCAAAGCTTACCTTTGTTTCATAGATTATGCTAAAGCCTTTGACTGTGTAAAATGGCACAAATTATATCCCGCTCTTCAGAAAATGGGAGTCCCATTCATCTTATCTCAATGATTAGAAATTTATATGAGAACAAGTCTACAAGAGTAAGAGTTAACAAAACTATGTNTTTATTCCAATTATAAAAAAGGTGCACCAAAAGATTGTAGTAATTACAGAACTATATAGTATATAATATAGTAATATATACAGAACTATCAGTCTAATCAATCATGCCAGTAAAGTAATGCTCCAAATAATTAATAACTGTTTGAAACCCTTCCTATTACTTGAAATAGCTGAAGAACAGATGGGGTTTATTTCTGCTAAAGGAACCCATGAACAAATCTTGAACGTCCAACAAATTATCGAAAAGGCCCACAAATTTAATGTCAAAGCTTACCTTTGTTTCATAGATTATGCTAAAGCCTTTGACTGTGTAAAATGGCACAAATTATATCCCACTCTTCAGAAAATGGGAGTCCCATTCATCTTATCTCAATGATTAGAAATTTATATGAGAACAAGTCTACAAGAGTAAGAGTTAACAAAACTATGTCTAATCCATTTACAACTGCAGCTGGTGTAAGGCAAGGATGTATTCTCCCCTTTACTCTTTAATTCTTATTCTGAAATAATAATGAGAAGGGGCAGGATGAATAAAAGATGAGGCTTAATGAAAGATGACTGGGATGGAGGCATTTCCATTGGGGGCTGAAAAGTTAACAACCTGAGGTATGCTGTTGATACTCTTATTATAGCATCCAGTGAATCAGAACTTGAATATATTATGGAAAGACTTGAAACTGTGAGCAGGGAATATGGATTAGTAATTAACAGAAATAAAATGAAATTCATGATAATGGATCAGGCTAAGGAAATCACAGACTATAAGTAGTCAATGAATTTGTTTACCTTGGTTCACTTCTCATGAATAAAGGATGATGTGATAATGAAATAAAATGCAGAATTTGCTTTGCTTGCAATGCAACCTCTAAATTGTATAGAACTTGGAAAGATTCTGCGATTTCTAACTTTAATAAACTACAGCTCTTAAGAATGCTAATTTTTCTGATTGCTACGTATGCCATGGACACCTAGACCATAACTGCCACTTCATGGAGAAAACTTATTCCTTTGAGATGTGAATATAGAAAAATGCTAAGAATCTCTTGGACGGAACACCAAACAAATTACTCCATCCTAAATCAATTGAAAAATCACAACACACCTTACCACTATAATCCACCAATCCTACCTTTGCTTTTTGGGACATCTTTCCAGATGCAAAAATGAATTTGAGAAACAAATTCTAGAAAGGGAAGACTAATTGTAAATGTCCTAGAGGCAGATGTTGGAATAGTTGGGCAGACCAAGTAATGGCAATTACAGGACATACAACACGTGAAGCCATCCAGATTGCACAACATTGTGAAAAGTGGAAGGATACAATTGTGAGGGATGAACAGACCCCCCTTTAAAGTGTTATTTTAAACTTTAATTATTGGGAAATTCTTAACTTCGAGTGTTTTATCAAGTTAGGCTAAAAGCCATAAAAATTATTTCCCATGGAGTTGGTTCCTTGTTGAGGAGGATCCAGCTAGTCAGTGATGTGTCACCCGGAACTTTCGATAAAGTGCCCACATTGGACGCCAGACCCTTAACAACAATCTCCTGACCTCATGGGAAAAACCCAAGAGGAATAACAAGGGAGAACGGAAAAAACACCTGAAGTCAGTCGTCTTTCAAAGTCCGTCCACCAAAGTCGTCCTCAAGGATTAATACCGTGACCAAGAATCCAGAATTAAAACTGTGACAACGATTATGTCGCTTTAAGGATATCATCCCCACTTCTGTGTCTCCACACCTCTGTGCTCCTGTTAACGGACAAGACCCATAACCATTTGATCAAACATTCCCTCGGCAGGGTCATCTTACTACAGATCTTGACTCAGAAGAAAGGTATTTATCAACCCGTGATTCGTTTGTAAACTCTCTCTCTTGAACGGCCTAGTATAATTAGGGGAACTTTAGGCATGCTATCGAATATATCTGTATTTTCTGTGGTTCTTATTAAAATTGTTATTTGTTAGTTAATATGAAATCCGAGTGAATCACTTTCTCGTCTCTCTCCTCACCTCTACTCCGAATCCAACCACTCGCCTGCTACCGTTCACGTGATGTAAAGTCTCAATTTCTGAGTCCTGCAAGACTCGGTGGTGTCACATCCTGACGTGGTGTCAAAGAGACACCGACCCTACAGTCACACAATTAAAGCCATCAATTCATAATATCACCACACTCTCTGAAAGGGCAAAGGACCAAGAAGAAAATTATAACATCCAGAAACATTTTCATGTATATGTTTTATATGTGACTTCTGATTATATTTTATGTTAATTTAATTAAATTAACATAAATTGCATTTAACGTTTAATATTATTGGGCTGCAATTCAAAAAAATTATAGACCTATAAATTCCCGCTGTTGTCTGTCCATCTGTCCTTCCTTAATCTTGAGAACAGAGTTAGATACATGAAAGTCAAGACCAGATAAAGCTTAGGAGCAGGAGGCCCCAATTAACTGTGTATAAACTTCTGATGCAAACCAGAAGTCACATTATTTTAATTCAAAAATTTTCCCTGAAAAGAGTTAGATAGATGATCGGTGCAACTCCATTGCTAACAGAGAAGTATGATGTACAGGGGCAAGACACTACAAGTACTAATTTTGAGGTGGAGAGCATATATTTTAAATTAAATAAATTAAAAAATATGATTAAAAATTGCAGCCTGGCATTATAACAATTTCACAATAAATAATTGCTTGTTATATTAGCATTCTTATGTTAATAAGATTAAAATTTGCTTGAATAAAAATATACAGGTTTATTAAAATATACTCTTAAAATTAAAACCTATACTCTTAAAAAATAGCAGTGTTTACATAAAAATATATAAAATTTATTTTAATATATATTAAAATAATGAA